CTCCCCTCCCACTTTTCTTGATTCATAACTTCTGCACCAAGTTACCGTGCAAATGTTTTATGTAAGCAAAGGGCACACAATGACATGAAACCCAGCAATGTTTCCAGGGCCAAGAACATCTGACTAATGATCACATGAACAAAAAAGATCCCCAGGGTCACCAAATATAACTTAAATGCTGGGATCACTTAGCCTGCAAAGACAGACGGATACATCACCTCAGATATCAAGCAGGATCAGCGGCTAAATCCTGAAGCTGCCCAACCGAGCAATGAGGTATGGCTTAGACTGCTTGCATTATGGGATGCATGCCAAATCCCATGTCCCCAAACTAAGGCTGCAATGCTATACTTAAGCCCTACTGAATTCAATGGGACTTATATCTGAGTAGTCCTGTATAGGACTGTATGGATGCTGGGAGATTTTGGATGTAAAAATAATGAATATATTACCTTGTATATAATGTCTGTTTCTATCCTACTGAATATAACCAAACATATGTTAGAAGAAGAGAATAAATGTCACACATTTTACTAGGCATTAAATATTTAATGACAAATACATCTATTATTAAGAAGTAATACCAGATCAAATCTGTCTGTATATAATTTTATGAAAATACTTCAGTACAGATTAGTTATATACAGTATAGATTATACAACTCTGAGGTTGGATCTGCTTAAAGTTATTCAGACTAGAAGTGTCATCCTCTAGTTCTTTGGAACCTGCTCTCATGTAAGTAGGTAAAGGATTGCTGCCTAGTCCTCATGGCAAGTAGTACCATTTAAGTGTGTTCTGATTTGACTTGTACCATTCATTTTAATGGGGATTACAGCAAATTTGTACATGTTTTCTCAGAGGCAAGACCTACTGAATGAAGTGGGACTCATTCCCTGATAAATGTACATAGGAATAAAGTCTTAATCCCGACTAACTTTAATTAGACTGGGGCCATCTAACTAATTAGTTGGTAAATAATTTTTACTGGGACCATATTTTATTTATTTACAAATAAAACATCCGGGCAGTGAACAATAAAAAGAAGATCATAGTAACAACAAGCACAAAAACAATGCAGAATCAAAATCTTTAAAATAAGATTCTGCCAATAAAACCCTGGGTGGTTAGCCAGGGAGGACTGAATGAGAACTGACAACTTTGGCTTCTCCATCAATCAGTTCTTTCTCAGATGGCCCTGATGCAGAGGGATCTTCGCCCTACTCAAGGGCAATAAGGCACACAGCCTCTGCCTCATATACTCCTTCCCATTTGCCCGTGTCTTGGCTTGTGCATAGCAGAGGTGCCTAAGGGGGAGAATTCCGACGTAGCCTTAGCAGAGGTGCGTAAGGGTATGGGCGGTGGGTGGGAGCAGCTGGTCACCAGACGGGGTTGCTCTCTTGCACTCAGGTTCCACTTTCCTATCCCTGCTATATATAATGTCTCTAACTGTATTAATATTCAAGCATTTGATATATGGACTTAATATGAACAGAACGTTTTTGTTAGTGGAACAACCAAGATACTGGCATATAGTTGAAGCGTGCTCAAGGAAAACAAAAAGAGAGCCCAATGGATTTTGAATGCGCATAGAAGAGCAGCGGTTTATATATGCGTATTTTGTGTTCTAAAAGCATGGAGAGAGAAGTTGCTGGAGAGAACTGCCTTAATCCTAAGAGTGGGTGACTGGTCTTGTGCAGGGGAGAAAGAGGCACCAGCACCACAACCATCACTGCCAGTGCTACTATTACCAAGTCAAAAAAACTGGGAGAGAGGAGGGAATGCGCAGGTGTTCCTTGGTAACTGCACTTTGTATTTAATGATCATTTCTGTCCTCATGTTCCTGCTCATTCATTCATTCGGATGGGAGAGCTTCGGACACTTTGGTAAATTTTCTTGGCCGGTAAATGTTGTCATGTGCGTCTCACATGCTTGCAACATCAAATGTTTTTTTTGGACCAGGGACTGGGGACTGCTGGAGAGCTGGCTTTCTTGAACGGGAAACATCCCTTTACTCAAACCATGACCTTGATCTCCATTCCAGGAAAAAGAACCGGGTGAGTTGTGTTTCTGGGCTAGGAACCAGTCATTGTGAACCTCTCCAATGGCTTACTGGCTGTACTGTGTACATCCCTTCATCTGTGTGAGGTCCTACCATGGAACTTCTTTCTGCTCCAGGACAGAATTCTAAATTTGGAGATGTTCTCAGGGGCTGCATTCCAGTGGTGGGTGCAGCCAAAGGCGAAAGGGGTGGGGCCGAAACGCTAGCATGTAAAATACTTTCTGCCAATAACTAAGACTGAGGAGAGGCATTTTGACATTTCAAAATTGAGAGAAAATGCAGAAAATCTAGGAAACCATTGAAACTATTGGTGATGGGAAGAAAAGGACGGGGCCAGGGGAAGGGCTGTGCTGTGGAGGGCTGCATTTAAGTGCCACCCCTGAGGTTCGGCAACCTGATCCAATGCACAGTTGGTACTGCATTTGGAGGTCTGGTGTAGTATCACAGTTAATGAGTTACAATTCTGGAAATTCCTGGTTTGATTCTGACCTCTGAACCAACAGCACAGATTTACCTTGCAGGGTTCAGGTGCACCTCACATGGCTGTGAAACACTTTGAATGTTTGGCTCTGCTGTACAGGTGTTGTGTGGCATTATTATACCCACACATAGCTCCATTCTTCCCAGCAAGGAAAGGAAAGTAATGCATCATGCACTTTTACTACTTTTACGGATAACCAGGAAGTGGGGCAAATCCAGACTATAAACTTGAAGGATTCTCTAGCTGCCCAGGCCAGGCAGAGCAAGGATAAGTAATTTCCCCAGTTCCACATGGCTTTTCTTCCATGGGATGTGTGTGTACCACATTGTGTTTTTGCTTGCTTACTGATTTCCTCAAACTCTGAATGACTGAACCCCATCTCAGTCTATGTCAATTCATTCTCTACCCTGAGGAAATGAAAAGGTCATATCATGTGCTTGTGCCATTTTTATGAGAAAGCAGAAAGGGACGTATAGTCATATTGCACACTTGGATCAATACCTGCTTCTCTGGGCATGATATTAAACAAAACAAAACAAAAGTAGCCCGCCAACAACACAGAAAAGGGCAGCTGTTATTGTCCTTGATGTGAAGAATTTCTGTGGGGAAGCAGAAATGGAGACAGCACAGCTGCAACGGAATACAGAACCACTGTACAGAATCCCAAGTTCCCAGTTCAGATCTTGCTTCTGCAAAACACTCACTAGGTGGCGCCCTTCCTCAGCCTCAACCCCTCCATCTGTAATATGGGTGATAATACCACAGCCTTTCTGGAGCTGATTCCTCCAAGGTTTGCTGGGAACGGGCTGTAGCTTCATGGCACAACACATACTTTGAATCTAGAAGGTCCCTGCCTGAAGCTGTGGAGAAATGTTCAGTGTCAACAACCTTGGACTAGATGGACCCAAGGTCAGACAGGGCGGAAGGCAGCTTCCTAGTATTTCCTTCTTAAAATAGAAAACCAGGCTATCTGTTTTTCTCACAGCTGTATATGCAAACATGCTGTACCCATAGATCATTTGGCATTCTCCTTATCAGGGAAAAGCAAAATGTGTGTCATGTGTTTTTTTTATGAGCAAGCAAAAATTTCGGCAAACAAGATTGCAACACCCCTGAAGCACTAAATGTCTCTTCCCAGCATGCTGGCTCCCTCAAAACCCTCCATGCCAGCCACCCCCAGCTCCCCAATCATCGCCATGCTCCAACGCTTATGTTCCATGCCGGAACACCGTCAATCTATCTATCTGATCTGGGGCCTGTACATCCTGGTTCCACCTCCAGCATCTCCAGCCGCACCCTCCCTGTCCCAGCCTTGCCACACTGAGCAACAAGGAGTGCTTTCGGAGGAGAAGCCTGCTTCTCTTCTATAAACAGGGCAGGGTGATTGCACTGTCACTCATGGAAGATCACAAGGACTCTGGTCAATGTCGTAATGTTCCCACGCTTTCCCACGGCTTCTTCCCTCTTTTTTTCTCTCCACTGAAAAACCATTAAGGGGGCTGGGGTGGGGAAGACTGAAGTCTGAAGTGCGCTTCTACTCTGCTTCATCTGAACACCAGGACTCTTCACATTGGGAAGCTGGGCGCTTTACCAGGTCTTATTTGCATTCCAGCAAATGTGAAAAGAAACCACAAGACTGAAGTGGTGTGAGTAAGGTCTGTGTCCTAGCTGTCCCCTTACAGACATTTATACATCATGGTCAGAGGCAACAGTTGTCCGGGAAATAGCAGTTGATGGGCCCTGTGATGGTTATGGCATAACTTTTAGCACAAAGAGTTGCAAGTTCAAGTTCACACGCCTGAAGTACCACGTGGCTCCCCGAGGTGGCTTTCAAATCAGGCAGACAGCAAAGAACCGCAAGCAAATGAAGTCTGCAACCAGCCCTCGGTCAGCACGCTCCCTGCTGACACTTTCAGGACGGACACACTGCTAGCCAAGTAATCGGTCCAATGCATTGATTAAAACTGCGTTTTGGTCGATTTAGAAAGATGTTTCCCGTTTCACCGGACAGCAGGCATTTTTAAAAAGGTGTTGGTGCAGGTACTTACAAAAGAACAGGCCGCATCACGCACTCCCTTTGGAGAGTCACACAGAAAAGGCCTCTTGGACGCCTGTTGCCATCTAAACACAAAGTAAGGACGCCAGAATTACGGTGTTTTTCAGACACAGCGGACGCACTTTTTCAATAGCCGATTAAAATCTCAAGCAATTATGAATCGACTGAAAATTATTTAATGCAGTGACAGGGAGCCCTGGATGGGATTTTTTAAAAAATCGAATTACGCCCAGGAGCAGCGAACTGCCCAAGAGCGGACGACCTCGGCGGTCTCCTCCTCCCGCGGACTCCCGGAACGGCTCCGGCCTGCAGCGTCGCCAATCAGCCGGGAGCGGGCGGAGCGGCGCGCTTGGAGGCCGGCCCCTTTGCGCGCCGAGGATGCTGCCGGCGCCAGCGAGCGGAGGCAGGGGGCGAGCGGTGACGGCAGCGGCGGCTGCGCAGGGCGCTCGGCACGGCCTTGGCTGGCTGCAGAGGGGGCCTGGCGGCCGGAGAGTGGGAGGCAGGCGGGCACCTGCTGCCGTCCCCGCCTCGAAGGCGCGCTGAGACGTCGGCCAAGGCGTTCTGGCAAGCTGCGGCTGGGTTCCCGCGCAGGCCGGTCTCGCTCGCTCGCTCGGAAATCGGCGGCTGTGCGAGCGGCGCAGCAGCAGCAACAGCAGCAGCTGCAGCCGCCTTTGGGCACGCCAGCGGAGGAGAGCCGGGACCCCGCCGGACTGGCAGCGTGAATGAAAGTTTGGTCCGAATTCCGCGCCGGGTAAGGAACAAAGCGCCCCGCCGGCGCTCCCCGTCGCCTCTCCGCTAGCCCACGCGGGCGAACCGGTGCCACCCGTGCCTGCCAGGGTGCCGCCTTTCACCTCTCCTGGGCCTCGATTCTTCCCATGGAGAAAGGACCGTGCAGCTCCCACCTCTTCCATCCCATAGCCAGGCTCCTTTTCGGAGCTGTCTCTTCAAGAACTCCATTTTTACTCTAAACCACTTCTCCTTTGCCTTTTGTTTCCCAGGCTCAAATAGGTAGGCGGAACGGCCCTCCTAAGCTATGTTTGTGAACCCCCCAAATAATAATAGTAATAGTGACAACAGTAATTATACTAATAATGTTTCCAGCAAGGGCTGCGGCCACCTCCTTCTTGGGATTGCCTCGCATCCTCCTCGGGTTCCCCGAAGTTCTTCAGGTAGTCATGGCACGAATCCTGGCTGCCCCCCGCCCCCCCGAACTGCCCTTGCTTCGTTGCAGCCCCGCGATAAGCCATTCTTATCCCTTGCTGCGTTCACTGGTTCTTCCTTTCCCCCCCAAACGGCGGGCCGGATCTTCTCCCTTCCCTCCAGGAAGCAGGATTCTCTGTGGCGGCTTTCCCCGACTGGAGCACCTCTAGATGTGGAAGGCAACCCCCAGCATCTTCTAGCCAGCCAGCCTGCCCGGGGATTATGGGATTTGGGAAGGCTGTTGTGCAGCAAGCAGTGAGCCGCAGAGCTTCCTTGGGAAGTGCTTTTCTCCTCTCCTCCTTCGACCTCTTCCTTGACAGCTGCTGTTGTCGCACCTAACCTGCTTTAGGCTGGGAAGGTTCAGCCTCATTCCTTAGAAAGGATGGGATCCCCGCGACCCAGCAGGAGGGAGGGCTTGGGGTGGAATGCCATTTCTTCTCCTCTAAACCCAGTCTCTGATTCTTACATCTTTCTCCTCCCCTGTTGGAGAAGGGGCTTTCATTCTTGTTTTATTTACCATAGAGAAATGTGGCACTGAAGGGAATCTGAAGCAGCTAGATATGTGTGTGGAGATGGTGGTGGGCTAAGATGGGGCAGTGGGTTTCTTGCTTTGAATTCTGTTCTTGGGAGGACTGCCTGGGGCAGTTTGGTCCTCAGAGAGACTCAGTATCTTCATGTCCTGCGAGAGAGTTGTGTTGTTTTGATCCAGCTGTTGGTGGAAGTGATTCGGTCCTTTCTGATCCTTCTCCTGCCTGTTCTCTAACTGGAGCTGAAAGTTACATTGAACTTTGCCTTCCTTCACCATGGGGAGGTGGTGACATCAGCACTCTTGGTATTAGTAGCCAGGGGATGGGATGCCGTGTCTTGCCACGTGTTGGCCAGATTTTACCTCTTAGCTGGTTGTTGCCTTAATTCAGAGGTGCAGAACCCTAGGCCCGGAGGCCAAATTTGCAGAGTCCCCAAAAAGCCATGCCTCTAGCCCCTTTCCCTGAGTAGCAATCGTTTGGTGGTTTCTAGGTTTTTGTGTTGTGAAATGCTTCTTCTAAGTTTTGTGTTGTGAAATGCTTCTTCTAAGACTGAGTAATGAGAAGTTTCAACTATGCTGTATTTTGGCCCTATTGCTTTGCCTCTGGCCCATCGACCACCAGAATATGACCTTGGAGAACTCGTCTGATTTTGAGTTTGGCCTTCTGCAGCCCCAGCTCTCGCTGCAGAAGACAGAGCCATGAAATGTGCATGTATTGCTGTTGCCCTATCTCAAAAGAGTTGGTCCTGTGAGCTGGATTTCCAATCTGCTGCAGATGTGATAGAGGAGCCTTGAGTTGTGACTCCCATTGGAATCTCCCAAAAGCTGTGTCAGAGAGTTGGTTTAGCTTTCAGGGAGAAGCTCCTAACTCCCATTGGTGTTGTAGTCAGATTGGCTATGCTGGCTGGCAAATAATGGGAATTGTAATCCAACCCATCTGGGGGCACTGGGTTGAGGAAGACTGTGCTAGAATTTGGCCTTGCCTTCCTGGTATTCTTTTTGATGCTCCCTGATAGCTTGATCTTTCTGCAATGACTGGGACATGTTTTTGATTCTCAGCCTAGCCCTCGAGTTTGAATATCAGTCTCTCTGCCTAACCTACTTCACAGAGCTGTTGTGAGGTTTAGGTCCTTGAAGGAAAAGGTGACGTGCTCATGTTTATAAACCACATCAGAACGGATCATTACTCTTCTCCAAAGTATTTGTTTGATTACTGTCAGAACAATTTATTTCTTTTGCATAGCTTAACTTGGGAGAAGACGTGGATGGCTTCATTTTGATTTGTTGTTGTTGCAGTAGCTAATGGTAATTTAAAGTGTAGTGCTGTGCACTATTATATTGTAGGCCAAGAGATATCCGTTAAGATGAGTCAGGGAATATAATTTCTTTGGTAAACATTGTATGTAAAAGGTTCCTCTAAAATGCAGGGGGTAACCCAAGCTTGTCCTGTGCCAAACGTCTTTAAAAAAGAGTTGTAGTGATTAGTGGATCACGGCTTGTGTTCTTGGTAGACCAGCGAGGCTGCATTAACGTTACTGGTTTCTTCACACTTCAGCCTCATAGTTGCCATGCCTTCGTCCCACACTCAGATTCTTCTGCCAGGTACTGGCGAACTGACCTTCTGTTTTCCAAAGACGGGTAAATAAATTCCTTTGCATCCACACATTCCATTTTAAATTGGCAGGTCCTTTAAAAATATGCATACCTTGTCTCACACTGGGGCAATTCATCTCTCTTGCATGTCTTAGCAGGGGATCCTGGGGCAGAACAATGGTGAAGCTTGTGTTCTTGACTAGAAGGTAAGCAAAAGAACTGTTCATTGTAAAAATAAGTGTTTCTCCATCCATTTTTAGAATAGGGAGACCACTGCTGTGGAGACCACCTGGACTAATGCAGAATTTTGGAGGATTTCAGGACAAGTTGTTCTCCCTCCCTCCCTCCCTCAATAAAATTCAGCTGAGGCACACTCCTTATTTTCCCAGTTGGTGATCAGAACAATGGGCAGATACCTTCCTTGCTGCTGTAGCCTAGTTGATAAGCTCGGCTGGACATTGTACTCTTGCTCAGTTAGTCAGCACTCAGGTATGAAACAGTGTTTTTTGTGTGCTAGGTAGAATCTACATGGTTGTCCCTTTTGTTTCTGAGGCACAGTTATTATTTTTTTCAAAAGCAATACATGTTAAACACAGATTAATCAACACAGTGCAATAGTTGCTGTGTTGATAACTTGAGCAGCTACCTCCTACTGATGCCTTGTGTTGTGAAAAGGGGCAAAATAAGAGGCATTTGAAAAACCACATGGGCTTGTGTTTCATGTGCACACGCATGCCATAAACTGTGCTATAGGGGTGAGACTGTCAGATCATAGGGATGTCTTAATGCCATTTTGTGTTTCTTTTCTTATTTTTTAATATGTGGGATATGCGCATACACCTGTGCAGTTGCGCAGGAATACAGACTTGAAAACAAAGATTGTGTGGTTATTCACAGCTGTGTAGGCGCACATGGAAAAAATAGTTTCCTCTCCCCTCAAATAAGAATAGCTAACCAATCACTCTGGTCATAGAAATGGAGGGCCACCCACAGATTTCCTGCCCATCATCACTGGCTGCTTAAACATGCTCGGTGAGAAAGGGATGCTTTTCACGTATGTCTGCATGACGAATGCAGAAACTTACAGTGTTGGGGTTTCTGTTGCAACCTCTGGGGTCTTCTCCTGCAGGTACATTTGGTGAGTCATGCAGGAGGCAGGGGCAACAGCAAGGTGGCAACAGATACAAGAGACTGAATAGGGGTGCTTGCCTTTATGCGTGCCCTGATTGATTTCTTGTGATATTCCTTCTCGTGTTGGCTGTAATAAGAGTCAAGTCTTTATAGATTGGAAGTTTTATAGTAGTTACAGGTAGTCCTGGAAATGTCACAGTCAGTGGACTTGTTCACAAAACGTATCGATTCTTGGAGATTATTTTTGTATCTGTGAAACAGGTAAAACTTGCTAAACTTTTAAAAAACCAAATAAAGGGAATGGCTAGAATTTTCTTTGACTGTTCTGTTTGTCTCTGTGTGTATAGCTTGTGCATGTGAAGGTAGGATTATTAACTTCTTATTCATGCCAACAAAGCAAAATAAACAATCCTCAGTACTCAAACAGTGACTGGCCTTATGCTTGTTGTTTTTGCAACCTATAACCTGTTCTAGCAAATTGTGCCATATGGATAGGATAACCCATCCCATCATGTGCAGCGGAACCTTCCACATCTACCTTCTAGATCTGTGGGTGGCCATCTCCAGTCAGCAGTGCCAACACAAGTTGGGGAAAGCTGGTCTAGAGTTAGTCTCAGATTATGGGTTTGCACAAGACACTTGGATAAAAGTGCCAGTGATGGGGAGGTTGTTTGTGTATTTTGTTTTGCTAGTCTCTTTCCCCTGATTTTGCATTTTGCACATCCCTATCATGTGAGTTCTCCTGTGGTGACTGGAATTCCTTTGAGCCCTTTCTTTGGAGCTTGTGTTCTTTTTAGGAGTCAAGGGGAAAGGGACAGTTGCATAATAGCTTGGCAAACGAGATATTTTAATTTCATTTCATTTTTTACATTTCTACACTGCTTGATAGCTGAAGCTCCCTGGGTGGCTTACAAAAATATAAAATGCAACTTAGTCCAATAAAAGAGATAGGAGGAAACAATTAACATTGTGGGGAGTTTTATTTGACTGCTCTCCATGTGTGCAAACAACCTTGTTTTACTGATAAGACTCTCCACTATTCTGTTGCAAGGGTGGACGTACCATGTCACGTGCATGTGTGTGCAGTTGTAGCTGCCCCGTTTTTGCTTTAAAAGCTGTGTTGGGATGCCGTGCTTGACATCGGAGAAGCAGAACCGGAGAAAAGCGTCCTTTACGCTTTCCCTGTCTGTCAGGTTCTCCCAACAACATCTCCTCACCCCAGTTTCATGCTTCTGGGGGGACTTTTAAAACACAGATGTGGCCATTGGGATACAGTTAGGTGTGTGTGCATATTTCAAGGT